CAGACCTGAAGATGGTGTCCTTTCTTTGCAGACCATGATGAAGGAATCCCTCAGTGAGCCATCTACTTCTTTCTGTGCTGCTTTATGTGTTGTGGAGAAAAAAGTGATCCAGCAACCTCATAAAACACTGTAGCAGACTAGCATCACATCCTCCCTCCACCACCAGTCCACCAATACTATGATGATCTTTTATGGGGCCATCTTAAAAGATATAAAACACATAAACAATTACAAGAACTTATGTACTGGTCTGAAATGAGTCTGAATGTGTACAACGCAGTTGTACAAACTGTAGAGATTACCTGGAAATCTCCAACAAACTTTGTTCAGCAGGCCTGCAGAAGTCCTAGGAGAAAACCTCATGGGACCCTTTACCTACAGTGTCGGTGGAAACCTGTATTTAATAGTCTTAGGAGACTGCTGTACAGGCTGGAGGGGACTGTTATCTCTTTATAAAGTGTCAGCAGAAACCAAAGCTCACATCCTAACCAGAGAAATGCTCTCCTGCTGGGTTATACCAGCTTACATCCTCTTAGACTGGGACCAACTGTTCATATCCTCTGAGTCTAAAGAATCCTGCAGACAGTGGAATCTCCAGCTGAATCCTCCATGTCATCCTGAAACCAAACTGACTGAAAGGTAAGTAAATATGTGATTTCCATGTGTGTGATGTGAGCAGCAGGTGAAGCTGCTGTTGTACAAGATATGAAGTTTAGATGTTGTTGTTCCACTCTGTGTGTTTCTGTATTGTTGATATTTAATGTTTTACTTTCTAAAGTCAGACACCAAATAAAATGACAGTTACAGTTCAGTACGCAGTGATTTCACACACAGGATGAGTGTTTGTGTTGTGAGTCAGTAAAAGTCTAAAAACAGTGTTCAGCTGCTCTGATGGAAGATGGCTTTAAAATGGACTTTCATTATATACGGGACACACATGGACAAGATGGAGTCCATCAGTATTGTGTGGTTGTTTTTATGCAGCTCACATCAAATTATTACTAAATGTTTCCTTCTTATTGTTCCAGTGTTGTTCCTCTGGGGTCAGATCTTCATGAAGCAGTCAGGTTCTTTGTGAGTCTGTTCTGTGCAGCAGCAGAGAGAGAGAGCAGCAGACAGGAGAGAAGATACTGGAGCTGTTA